CATCAAAGAGACCTCAAATATTGCATTATGTTACGAAGGATCAAACTTACTTATAAATGGGTATGTCGATTCTAACTATGTAGGGGATTTGGATAAAAGCAAATCTACTACATGATATGTGTTCAAAGTTGCTGGTGGAGCTGTAAGTTGGGTTTCAAAATTGCAGACAGTTGTGGCTACATCCACAACAGAAGCAGAATATGTAGCAGCTACACAAGCCAGTAAAGAAGCAATTAGGTTGAAGATGCTATTGGAGGAGCTTGGGCACAATCAAGAGTATGTTTCTCTGTTTTATGACAGTCAAAGCGCCTTGCATCAGAAATCCAACATTTCATTCAAGGACAAAGCACATACGAGTTCAGTACCATTTCATTCGTGAAAAGGTGGAAGAAGGGACGGTAAGATCCATACCAAAGACAACATAGCAGATTTCATGACGAAAGCGATCAACACTGATAAATTTACCTGGTGTCGATCCTCTTGTGGCCTGTCAGAGATGTAAGCAACATGATGGTACAAGGTAGAAAGAATGGTGTGAAGATATGATTGTTCCAATCAAATCTTCAAGTGGGAGATTGTTAAAATTTCAACCAATTATTCGGTGCATTAATGCACCGAATGTGCAAGTGGAATTGTGGAGTCAATAAAGTAGCTGCAAATTGTTGAAATAATAAAGGCATAACTACCAAATTGAGTCCCTAAACTTTAGGGTATTTACAAGATTAGTCCTCAAGTTTCAACTATAAATACCCTAGCTCATTTAACTTCAAAACCATCCCAAAGCATTCTAGCTTTCTTCCAATATTAGAGAGAATTTAGAGAGTTTCTTGAGAGTTGTTTTCTCCTTTTTTTTATCAAGAGAGAATTATCATTGTTTTCTCCTTGGTAGATCGAGAGAAGTTGTAATTCCTATTTTCTCATAGTGAAATTCTTCTACCGTTGCCCGTGGTTTTTATCCTATTTTATTTAGGGGTTTTCCACGTAAATTTTGTGTCTCTTTTTATCTTCATTTTTATTTTCTCAAATTATCAGTTGCGATTTTGCTCTATCGGATAGCCGTCTTCCGCAACAGCATGCTTGGTAAAGTGGTTGAACTATTGGAATGCTACATGCCCTCTTTGCAGGATGCTTTTGCTGGCTGAAGTAGATGCGTCCTGCTTTTGGTGAGGACACGAAGAGTTTTTCAAATTCCAGTGTACAGTACTTAGGAAAATGTTATGTGCCTCATATTAGTAAGATGATCAGAAACTAAATTTTTTAAGCAATATAAAAATTTTAAATCTTAACATTACGAATAAAATAAATTGGATTACGAATAAAACAATTAAAAAGGTCCTCTTAATGCTTGGGAAAACAGTCATTTGTGCACATCATACTTTGATGCCTAAATGGTACAAAATAATAAGATCCATAGATCAAGGTTTAGGGTTTTCGAAAACGAAAAAGAAAAACAATATCAAAGGGTAATATGAAAATCTCAACTTCCATCACGAGACCATAACAGTATGACAAGGTAGATGAAAAGCAGTTCACAAAGCAAAGTTCAACCTTGTCTAAAACCTCAAAATCATGCAAAGTACTGAAACGTTGATAATCAATATTGTACAAGTACAAAGTTCAAGAAATGCCACGTGAAGACAATACTACCAGGTAAGACAGTTTATCAAAGTTCAAACTATTAATTTTGGTTTATTTTAGTATTTAAACTTAATTATTTTTTTAAAAACCATATCGAATGTTTAGTTTTCATTTTATTTTATTGCCCGTCGTTAAAAACTTAACACGTTTAGTACTTAAACTATCGATTTTGGCCCGTTTTAGTACCTAAACATTTAATTCTTTTCAAAACTCAACCTTAAATTTTGAACCGGATAATAAAATAAAACAAAAACTAAAAATTTTAACGGCATAGTACTAAAATGAAACAAAAAATAAACTTTATATATGATTTTAAAAATTTTAAAATTTTAAATATTAAAATGAATTAAAACTGATAATTTAACTATTAAACGATAATTTACTCAAGAATACATGCTAGAAAAGACATTCTAAAATTATCTAATGCCTTGTTGGTTATATTAGTTAGCTATTAAATGCAATAAAGAATGGAAAGAACGATATAAAATATAAACGGTGAAAGTACATAGATAGTCGTCTAATTATAAGATTTTATTTTGTTGAGTCTTTAATTATTAAAAATTACAAAATAATCTCCCGATTATAGGGAGTTCCTTTGTTGAGTCCATTGACTCTTAAAAGTTATAAAATAATCACTCGACTATTCTTTAAGTTTCAAACTAGTCCTTTTTCATTAAAAAAAATTAACGGCATTTTGAGTTAGACGTTAATATATTAACTGATATATGATAAAATTTAATCTTATAATCTCAAACGGTTATTATATCTTAGTCAGCATATTAACATCCAGCTCAGACGATCCTTAATTTTTTAACAGAAAAGGACGAGTTTGAAATATAATGAATAGTCGAATGACCATTTTGTAACTTTTAATAGCTGAGGGACTCAACAAAGCAATTCTCAATAGTCGGGGATCATTTTGTAACTTTTAATAATTGGGGATTCAACAAAATAATATCCTATAATCGAGGGATCAATTATGTACTTTGGCCAATATAAATACGATTACAATATCTCATCTTCTCTCATCTTTTAATTCTATTCTCTGTTTTTCTTACTCTTCCCTCTTGCTTCTCCTTTTATCCTCTCTATTACAGTAATTTCATATTTTTCAAGGAATTCAACTTAATTGCTTAAGTTCGTTTCATTAAGAAATTGAATTAGTGCTTTGGTGAATAACATGTGTCATTAAAAGTCTGCGGGAGACATTCACTCATCACAAATGATTGTTGAGACATTACAAACTAACTTCCAAAATTAACAGAAAGCTAACCAACCTAACGAACAAACACATAAATAATGATATAACCTAACACCCCTCTAGATGGGACTGCATGGATATTAAAGAGGCCCATCTTGTCAACAAAAACACGATGCAAAAGAGGCCGAAGAGTCTTGGTAAACACATCAACTAGTTGATCAGAAGATTGAACGGTAAAGAGCTTCAAAACTTCAGTCTTGACCTTATCGCGCACAAAATAACAATTGATCTCAATGTGTTTGGTCCTTTCATGGAAAACTTGGTTGGTTGTCAAATGGATCACAGCTTGATTGTCACAATATAACCGAGCACGATCGATGAAGATGTGAAATGAGACAGCAAAGAGGCGAGCCAAACTGACTCGCAAGTAGGTATTTCTATAGCATGATATTCAACCTCACATGAAGAACGACTAACAATGGCTTGTTTTTCCGACTTCCAAGATATCAGACTATCACCAAAGAAAGCACAAAAGCCAAATGTAGAACATCGAGTGTCGGGAAATACATTCAAATAACTAATAATAAGTTTTTGGAGATTACTTATCAAAAAAAAAAGTTTTTGGAGATTATCTATTAAAAACATTAAATATTATTAATGAAAATGAGTAAAGACATACATTATAATTCATTTTAACAATTCATATCCGAAACCGAATATAAGAATACATGAAAGGTATAATCATAAATCAAGTGAACTTATTGGTTAAGAGATATTATTATTTTTAAAGATTTTATATTCGAGCACAACATTTACGTGAGCATTTGAATATTCATTATCAAATCTTTTAAATATTATCTAATTATCGTTCGTACCGATAAAAATTGCATAAAAGGATTAATATATATATATATGGAAAGTTCTATAATGTATGTCATTCATTGCAATTCACCATTAATTTTATAGGGTAAAATTTACAAATAGTCATTAAACTATGTAAAAATTATCTTTTTGAATACTTAACTTTTAAAAGTTACATAATGAATGTTAAATTTTAATTTTGTTACAAAACATGCACAAAACCATTAAGAAATATTTTAATTTTACTCTTAAATTTAATTTAAATAATTTTTATTAGGTTCATTGAATTGAAAATAAAATAGATATATATAAAATAAATATCATTTTTTAATTTTATATTATAAATATTAAATTTGTACCATATAAATTAAAAAATATTTGATATGATATTATAATATTATGGATTTATGATTTTTAAATTACATTTAAATTTGTTAAATAAAATTATTTAAAATATTAAACCGTGTCCATTTGAGGTTAATAATTTTAAGTTCACTTTCGAATTGAGCTCAATTTTAAACTTTTCGAATCGAGTCGAGCTCGACAATATTTGAGCTCAACTCGACTCGTTTACACCTCTAATTTTCTAATTTTCATTACTGACTTGCCTACTTTTATCTGGTTGTTTTTAGCAAGCTTAAATTGGAGCATTTATAAAGGAAATGGCCAAGGCTAACACAATAGCTTTGTTTATGAGTCTGGGTTTCCTACAAACCCCTTTTGCATTGAACTGTCAAGAGCTTCCTTAAGAAACTAACATCTTCAAGTATGTTAACTAGTTCCTTTGATCCACTCCAACAACTTGAAAAGTCTTACAAGCGTTTTTGTGAAAGATTTCAGTTTGTTTGTACTTAAGCATTGCAGCACTTTAAGTGGTTTGAAGTTCATATTCTTCTTTAATTTAGTTACTAAGTACTGCTGTGATTTTTATATTGGCAGGAATGGAGTTCCCCTGAGGCTGGTCAAGTATGAAAACAGTATTCTGTTCCAGATTGGCCATTGCTAGCAACCTATCTTATTAGTGAAGCAAGTGTCCAGAAATCTTCGAGATGGTGCACTTACATTTCAGCTCTTCCTCGACAGCCCTATTCACTGTTGTACTGGTGAGTTGATTTTACTTCATTACTTCTTTCACACGGTAGAGCTCTTAAAGAGTTTTACCTGGCTTCACTAATAAACTACAAAGGACCAAACATCTATAGTCCTTTGCAAGGTACTGTAATTCTCGTTGGCCCAACTGAATTTTTCATCTGAAGGGAAGAACCTTTAACTCCTCTAATGGTGGAAGTTCTTTAGATACTCTCGATACAGACTTCTGTACAAGGGATGGACTGCTGTTTCTCCTAACTATGCTTACACCATTTATAATCTGCTTTACACCATTCACCTTCTCCACTTTCCCACTAGCAGGAGCCTTTCTTTTCACTACCTCACTCGCAGGCACCATTTTAACTGCTCGCCCATTGATTCGTACTTTGGGGCTGGTTCAGTTTGTTGCATTTCCACTCGAAACGTGAATGATTTATCTGCCATAGGAAGATTATGTATTTGCCTCTCCAACTTAGCAAACTGATTCGAAATCGAGCTCAAAAAGCCGAGAGTACCCATCGTTCTTCCTTGGTTCATCACTTCAAAATTGTAAGAATAACAACTGTGTGATGCCAAGTATTGCTGCCATATCAGCGGCAAGCACCTGTTGAATTTTGATAGTAATTTAAAGTATGCAGCAGTGGTTTTTCGGTTGCATTGCCTTTACCATTATTGCGAAAATAAAGATGCTATTGTGGTCATAGTTAGTATCGATTTCGTACAATAACAATTTCAGGCGACACCATTACCGCTTAATAAAGGTAGCTATTCACTATGAACTAAGAAGTTTTTCTTGAAAGGATCAGCAAAATTATTGATCCAGCTAAAACAAGATATATCTCAATTATGAATCAAAAAGCAAGGAATCAAGATTATCAAATAAGGAAAATTTGCAGATGGAAAGACATTTGAAATGTGAAAAAACATAAACTTCAGTTGATGAATCAAACAACGTCAACAAAATTCCAAATACTATAAATTTAAACAACAAATGAACAGTAAAGAATAATATAATCTTAACCCCAATGTTCTTTTTAAAAAAAGGGATCTTCGAATAAAGCACCCACCAGTAAAGAAGATGGGTCTGGATTTTTTAATATGGGGCAAACCTATTTGTTGGGTTTTTAAAGGCTCTCTTTCTTCTCAATGACTGGAAAGGGAATGGAAGAGTAGCTTAATGGAAAACAAAAGAAAGAGATGCAAGCCACGATTGTGCGTTTGAATGAGAATGGTGCAGTGTTGACGTGTCCTTCCTTGGTTTCCCCAAAAATTATTATAATAATTATTTAAATTAGATCGATAAATATTATTAAATTATTCCATGCCAATTTATAATGCCATTTGAGATGGAAATATTAATAAGACACTTTTCACCTCTTAAGAGTGTTTGAAGACTTGTATAATACACTAAATAATTGTCCAATAATTTCGTGAAAGTAGTTCAATAGTATAGCAGAATTTACAGTGTTTAAAAGAATTGTTGTTATTTTTAAAGGTCATGGGTTCGAACATCAACGACTGTAGAAAGATGATTAAGTATTCATTATTAAATGATATAAATGATAGATCAAACAATAAAAAATAGTAACATTAAAAATATTAGACTTCTCTATTGAATGAAAAATAATTTAAGTACTAAAAGTGAAAAAAATGATATAATATCACGCCCATTTCTCATCTTTGAATTATTTTCTAAAAACTAAACTTTCATATTTCTAACAATTTGATAATTTATATTACTTAAATCTTTCTTCACTTATAAATTTAAAAAAATATTAAACACTTAAACATATTTGATCTCTTATATATTATACCAACGATAACTTTAATTAAATTTAGACTCGGATTGATGTGGATTTTTAAAAGCATTTGTGATTAAAAAAAAGCTTGTTTTAAGCGTAAAATCAATGTCAAACGGGTAAAAAATTAAAATAAAATGACGTGGAAACGTGGTTTCAAACCAACCGCAAAAAACAGGATTTTTAGCTTTTTCATTTTTAATTTTGTGTTTGAAAGCAAATTATAATTTTATTCTTACTAATGCATAGACTCCACTCAATTATGTATTTACATTTTATTTTTAATAATTTAATACTAAAATCCTTAAAAAATAATTTATTTTAATTACTTAAAAGTAAATAAAATTCATTTTTTATTTATTAAAATATTAAAAGCGGGATATTATAAAATATTTTTTTATAATTATATTTTATTATAGTTTAAATTGATATAATTTATATATAATAATAATTTTATGGATTTATTGTAGTTTAAATCAATATGATTTATATATAAGTATAAATATAATTTAAATGTTATATTTTTTAATTTACAACATAATGTCTATAATGAACATTTTATCTTTTCAAACTCACTTTTTAACAGCAACTCCAAACAATTAAATTTTAAACTGTACTTTTATACAACACTTTTGAAAGTTCATTTTTACAACATTTTAAAAGTCATTTTTTTAAATAAAACACTGCATCAAACTGGCCCGTAATCAACTAAAGTATAGCTTCATCTGTAATTTAGAATAAAAGCGAAGATAGTGAAAGAATGTAATTTAAAATTGGTTTGGGCGGCGTTTAAACTTTAAAATATAAAAATGAAAATGATGTAGAAACCTAAACCAGTTACGATTGAATTCAGAATTTTAAAATGATGAATTGCATGGTTCATAACCCTTTTTTTGTTATTATTATCAGCAGTGAGCACTAGGAGTTGGCCCTTTCCATACCAATCAAATTACAATCAAATCTTAAATTCACAATTTGAAAGCTACTTCTGCAATATCGTGAAAATTTGAGGGTCAAATATCAATTCCCCCTTTTTCCCTTTTTTCTTAAAAAGGGAAAATTGTACGAAATTAGTACTTTCCCATGAACAAATTGTGTTTTTGATTATGTTGTATCAATTTAAATCCAATCGAATAAGTTACTTTTTTTTTTTTGCTTTGAATAAATAAAATGTGAATTATTAGAAAAATAGAAGGATTTTATGGCAATGAAAATAAGAGCCAAAATCATCCAAATAAGCTTGTAAGTGATCCAGTCGGTCGATGTATGAAATGCCAATCAATATATGAAGCATGTGATGATCTTATCTTGTGGATAAGGATCTGCTTTCAATTTTTGCAGCTGGTGAGCCTTGGGTTGGCTGATATGTGCCAGGAAATATATGAAGTTAGAGGGAAAGAATAATTGTTATGTGTTTGATACTTGTTTTCGATTGAAGAAGTCACTCAATAAAAATAGAATAATTATTATTTTTAAAGTCTGATGTTCAATTTTTAACTTTTCAAAGTCAAAAGACTTAAAAAGAGCCTGTAATCAGAGGACTATTGACATATTTTACCAAAAAAATATAACGTGCTTCACTTTCACATAATTAGGTAGAGCGATGGTCGTGGTAGCTCAGAAAGCTACACTCTCCAGGTTCAACAGTGAAATTCTTGCCGACTACTATTTGCATATTGATGGCTGAGGTGCAAGGGAAATGGGTCAAGGTTTGTTCTCAATTCATGTTGGCTATGTTAGATATAATATATCTTTTCAAAACATTTTAAACTCTGGGCTTCTCCTTCTTCCCTCTCAGTTTATTTTCTGTTAAATATCTGTTTTGGGTCACATCCTCAGATTCATATTTGGTTGGGATAATTCCTGTTGGATTTCATTGTATACTAACACTCCTAAGTTTCACTGCATATTTTTTACCCTTCAACTTAGCCTTAGATTCCTAGTACATCAACAACCATGTTTTCACGACTTTATTTATCTGGGTTTTTCTTTTCATGAGTTTGTTGTAGCATTTCTGATTTAATACATGGGTAGTTTTTGCAAAAGTTGCAGATTTTTACGAATTAAAAGAAAAAGGGTCTGTCAAAAAAGGGATCTTTTGATTTAATTGTTTGCCCCTGGTTTTATTTTGTCTATTATATACACTGGTCTTTCGCATGGTCTGTGATTTACCTGCAGCTTCCTGTTTTGACTTTATCATTGATTACTGTCAAAATTGTAGCCATGATATTTTGATCTCCAGTTTTGCTCTTTGGTTTTGTAAATCTGTATTAGCTTAACCAGAATGGAATTGGTCCTGGAGCTAGAAGCTCACACGCCATAACCATTGTGGGACAGAAGGCCTATATCTTTGGAGGTGAGTTCACCCCAAGAGTCCCAGTTGACAACAAGCTCTATGTATTTGATCTCTGTACCTTAACATGGTCCGTTGCTGATGTAACCGGCGATGTCCCGCCTCCGCGTGTTGGTGTCACAATGGCCACTGTTGGTGAAACCATCTATGTGTTTGGTGGTAGGGATTCTGAACACAAGGAGTTGAATGAGTTTTATTCTTTTGATACGCGTACGAACGAGTGGGTCCTGCTTTCCAACGATGACAGTGGCCCGGCTCATCGCAGCTATCACTCCATGACGGCTGATGACCAACATGTTTATGTCTTCGGAGGGTGCGGTGTTTCAGGCCGACTTAATGATCTATGGGCTTATGATGTTGCTTACAAGAAATGGATCAAGTATCCAAACCCGGGAGATAGTTGCAAGGGAAGAGGTGGACCTGGATTGGCTGTCGTCCAAGGAAAAATATGGGTGGTTTATGGCTTCTCTGGAGTGGAAATGGATGATGTGCATTGCTTTGATCCAGTCCAAGGAAAATGGTCCCAAGTTGAGACAAGTGGGGAGAAACCAACAGCCCGGAGTGTATTTTCTACAGTTGTGATTGGCAAATACGTAATCATATATGGTGGGGAAGTGGATCCTAGTGACTTAGGTCACCTTGGTGCTGGTAAATTTTCCGGAGAGGTTTACGGTTTGGACACAGAGACATTGGTGTGGAAGAAGTGGGAGGATGATCTGGGTCTAGAAACTCATCCCGGTCTTCGTGGATGGTGTGCTTTTGCCAGCAGCTTGAGGGATGGCCAACTCGGGCTTCTGGTTTATGGTGGCAACTCCCCTAGCAATGATAGGCTCGATGACATTTTCATTTTTGCCCCATGTGTAGCATAGCAAAGTAACCAAAAACCGAGCAGTGGTTGATGGTGGTTCTGTATTAGGACAACAAGGATAATGTGTGGTTTTGTGCAGTAAGTTGCTATGAATAAGTCTAGAGTTTTACGTGCTTCAACGCTTGGATTGGTTATTATAGTTGAGTATTATCACACATATTTGATAATATGGTATTTCGAGTAAGTTTCTGGTTCTGTCATTCTATACCAGAAGTTTTAATACAGATGCAGCGGTTGTTCTGCAGAAGAAATATCTTCATGTTGCTGAAAACCATATATCTAAGTATCTATACAAGAGAAGTTGCTAAACACATCCAATACCCATATTTAACATATTTGGCGCGGAATATAGTGATATAACCTTCCATAGACAAGAAAAGTTTTCAAAAACTTAAATATACCCAGGTCGGATATGTAAATCATGTGAGTAAAAAAAACAGGTAAGCACCTGCATTGGTTCTCAATTCCAAAATTGTTGTGATCATCAATAGATGTTAAAGCAACCAGAAGGGTTTATATTGGTAACCAAAAACATTCAATAGATTCAGAATTGTAGAAGCATAGATGTTCCTCAGCAATATTACATCCTCTAAATCATGAGTTAATGTTGCATTGGCTGCTAAGCATAGTGTGAAATGTTTGTACAGTCAAATCTAGTTTTTCTGTATGAATGGTAAACCAAATTCCAAACTAATCATGCCTCTTCCTTTATCATTTCTTGCAAGACCAGGTTCTGTTAAGCCTTCGCTTCTGTTGCAGCATGAAGAAGTTCGTCCGGAATTGCCGCTGGGTCCAAATCCCAACAATGTTTGGGTAAATCACTGGATTCTCCTTGAAGTAACCATGAAGGAACCTGATGCGAAAAGCGGAACATCTCTTTCCTTGGAATCCATCTAATGGCATCCTTTTTTGTATTTCTCTGATACACTGTCTTGAATCCTACTAACTTGACAAGGGGAGTAACACAAACTCCAAGCTCTTCAGAATAATCATCGAGCACCTCCACCATCTCATATTGGTGCTTCACTTCATCGGGAGTCGACCTGTTCCATTCTGGTGACCAATTCTGATAAACAGCCCAAATATCACCACTCTTGGGGAATATGCGAACGCAACCTCCCCTTCCAGCCTTTTCTCCTCTCAGAAGATGAGAGAAAATGTTGACCTGATCAATGACGTCAGAAGTCCATGCCCTGAAGTGCCCACAGGATTTAGTAAACCCAGAATCCAACCAATTCACTGACCCGAATTCATTATCAGTCTTGGAGTTCAAGTAAGTGATGTGAATCTTAAATGGTTTTACAGAGACAACCTGGCGAATCAAGCAATATAATCGAGGCATACCATCATCTTCATCGTACAGTCCCCATATTTGCTTTGGTTTGAAGCATTCCTCTGACCTATCTTTGTCAAAATCATGAAAGTCGGAGTCCGGAACTGTGATTGAGACTGGTGCACTTTTATGTGATGCTGATTGATGAACAGAAACATTTAAATCCGATATCTTGGGAGACTTGCAGACTGGTGGTGGTTGAACTCCATCAGTGCCTAATTTAACTGCCGAGGTTGAGGCTGAGGTTGCGGCTGCGGCAGCTGCTTCTGAAGCCAACTTAATCTCTTCTAATTTCTTTCGAATTTCAGTCATAGCCTTGTCAATTAACAACTTCCTAGTATCAACTGTCGGTGGTGTTATGCATCGCCTAGTTGGTGGTTCACCTGGATTGAAAGGTTTTGGATCAGGCTCAACACCATTCCCATTTGCTAACCCTCCTTCTGATGATTTTAATGCCTTGTCTTCATATCCACTTTTAAATTCGGAATCAACAATAACCTTCCTTTTCTTCTCAACTCCACCAGTTTTAGATCCAGAAGCTTCGTTATAGCCATTGAACAATGGAATTGTATGAGTGACGATATTTTTCATATGTTTTCCATTGGCACTTGATTTCATCTTCAGCCCTGCTCCTCGATCATCTCTGTTGGTCTGATAAATGGAATCAGTGGAAATGGTTGATAATCCATTATGGCCCACGACCCCAGTAGAAGTTCCAGAGTATGAACTCCACTGAAAAGACATGTTAGAAACATAATCGAATCCATGCCCGGAATGATAACCTGAGACCACATTTCCAGCAAATGAAGTAGCATTCGTTGGGACATATGTGACCCCATCATATCCATGACTTGTGTATCCGTTACTCGGCACATAAGACCAAGGACAATAGGGGAAAGAACCGTTCACTGGGGCTGACCCTGTTTCAACGGCAATGAAAGTACCTCGGCAGTTCTTACATGAGAGTCTCTTATTGACATACTTACGGAGATACTCGTACTGAACTTTACAAGAGGTGCATACAGTCCAGAAAGTATCAAGTATACCTTGTGAAGTATTTGAACAGTTGCTCAAACCTGTAACCGCAGTGCCATATGTTGGAGTTTGAATCACTCTAGAAGGCATCTGTTTGTTTCTCTTGATATCATAGGCACTTTTCTCAATTTTATCCGACAACAAAGTCCACGCCTCAGATACGAGTTTGAAAGCCCCGTCAGCTCCCACACTTTTATTCTTATCGGGATGGAGTAACACAGCCATCTTTCTGTACTGTTTCTTCACTGTATCTCTATCTGAAGAAGGCTTCAATCCAAGAATCGAATAATAATCTATGTCACCGTTACATTTAGCCTCAGATGCAGCATAAACTTCGAATGTGGACACCATCTGCGATATGCCCTCTAATCCAGGATACAACGATTTAGCCTTTATTGCATAGTTCTTGGCACCTGCAAAGTCTCTTTCACAAAATCGCTTCTCAGCAGCCTCTTTCGCTTTAAGTGCCTCTTCTTTGTTCGCTTCCATTTGGAAAGTTCAAATTACTTTCAAAACCAAACTCTTGAAACAAATGCTATACAGATTCCAAAGTGACTAACCATAAAAGAAGCTGAACTGTCACATTCAACCATTTCATCTTTTCTGCACATGGTCACAGCACAACATTTAGATCTTTTAGCAGATCAAGCTTCATTTTTTTCAGGTAAAATTGTACTCTACCAAGTTATGCAACCTTCAAACACACTTAATTAAACCTAACCACGATTCCTTAAATTTAAGATCTTAACTATTTAACTTCTATTCAAAATTTCAAATTATGAAAACCCACATAAAAGCAAAAAAAAAATGTCCAAGCGAAACTAAAGGTTAATTTACAGTTAACTTCTCCTCCTATCATTTTTCTCAGTTTTGTTTATTAAAGCCGATAAAAGGCGGCTAAAGTTTGCATAAATTTGAAAAACTAAATCCACTAATTTCAAAGCCAAATAAAAAACATCAGATGGATCCAAATTAAACAACTCAAACAATATTTAAACTAAGTAATTGAACCCAAAATTTTAACGAGAGGGCTAAAACTTTTAACAACATTTAAGTGTAGGAGCAGACATTTCCACATAAATTACACTTTAAAATAAAAGCACACACACACTAAACTTACCGAGATTTGGGCAGCAATGGAAGCGAGGCAAGATGCAAGACCCAGATCGCCACGTGTAGCAAATTAAGGCTCCAAGCTAATTTTGGAATCTCAGTGAAGAAATGAAAAATCAAACTATCAATTCTTTGCGGAAAGCTACACTGAACTAAGTGGAGGGAAACAAATTAGGGTTTTCAATTCGGAATTGAGAGGGAGTAGATCGTCGATCAGAAAATGGAGGGTGGGGGGAAATTAATAAAAATGATAAATTTCAGTGAAAGTAAACCATGTTAATAGTATTTAATGATGGGGAGAGCTATTTTACACTTTTGTGCGTAATACGCACAGTTTATTTGTTTTTATATTTATATATAAAAATGAAAAGAGAGACAATTAGGTATTGTAATATATGTATTGCAATAATTATGGTATTGATATCCTAGGAAAAAATATAATGCGTGTGGTACGTATCTAGGATCTTCACTATTCCATAAGATAATAATTATCATACTGATACGAACCTGATCAATTTTAATATTTATCTTTGACAATCGAAAATCAATAAAATTTTATTTTAATATCTTCAAATCTCACATGTTTATATAAAATTTTGAATTATTTAAATATATTTTTTAAAAAATTTGAGTTCATTGAGTGATTAATGACAAAGTTTATACATGTGCATTGTTGTCGTCGATCAATCGACTTATCCATTTGTTTTCTTCTTAAGTTTAAGGATAAAATATACAAATAGTTTTCCGACTCTAAGATATTATTTTGTTGGATCTCCAAACTATTAAAAGTTATAAAATGATACTTTAACTATAAGGAGTAATTTTGTTAAGTCACTTAACTACTAAAAGTTACAAATTATTCACTCAACTATTCATATGTTTTAAACTTGTCTTTTCAATTAAAAAAATAAATGTCGTCTGAGTTTGACGTTAATATACTAATCGAAATATAATAAAATTATATTTTAATAATATCTATTGGCACTGGCATTGCTTTTAGGCACTAACTCGACGAAATAATGTTTCAAGTACTAGCTCGATAGTATAATAGTATAATGTAAACAAAGATTTTATCCATAAAATACAATTCAATAATTCTGAGATTATATTTTATCATATATAATCAATAGGTTAACGTCTAACTCAAACAATCATTAATTTTTTTAATAAAAAATAATAAATTTAGAATATATAAATAATTAGATGATCATTTTATAATTTTTAATAAAAAAATTTAAAAATAATAAAAATTATTTTATAATATTAAATAATTAAGATACTCAATAAAATAACGTTACTAGTAGATCGTTTATGAAACATACCCTAAAATTATTTATTTATTTCCGCCCTAGCAAACAAAGCCGGCGAACATTTTTTGTCATTAGCTTGTTGAGCTTCCCCCTAAACTCGTATTTGTTACACCACTGAGCCCAGCTTGTGACGCTATATTTGTTCTTAATCTGGACAAAATGGGGAGTCTTAAATTCAGCTGCATTCTAATGGCGATTTTTGAAGCTCAAATTGAACAATTAAAAATTGCACAAGGGGTGAATCGGTAAAAATTGTTTAGAGAGTAAGGAGAAAGAAAATATAGTCAATTTTGCACAGCGATTATAGTGGTTCGACTTTTTAACTAAGTCTACATCTACTATCTTAGCTCCTCACTAAGGATTTTCTAACAAATTCACTAATTTATTCTTTCTTTTTCAATTACAAAGAAATAACATTTACAATACTCTCTAGCTTTTCAAAAGTTCAGCTAGAACCAAAACCCCTTTACAAGGAAAAAAATGTAAACAAAGAAAACCTCTAAAAGGTAGGGTGTTTACAAAATAAAACTCACAAGAACAAAATATTTACAAGAGAATAAGAATAAATAGTGAAAATATCTTCACTTGTATTTGATTGTTTAAATATGTGTTATAACCCTTCTTCAAGTGTCTTGAACTAAAATTTATATGTTAGAATGAGTTTGTGACCGTTTCTAACCGTTGGGAGTAATTTAGAGTCGTTGGGATGCTTTTCTCTATAAAATAAAATTGCCCAGTACAGAGGGTATCGGTACTCATATAGGGAGTATCGGTACTACCTTTGTTATTTTTAAATAAAACTAGCCGTTGGGCATGACAGTATCGATACTATTATGTAAAGTAGTATCGGTACCCCTTTAGGTATCAGTATTATTTTTGCATTCTGGAAATTGAGAAATGTTGGTAGTATGTGAGTATCGATACTACCTAATGAGTATCGATATTTCCCTTACTTTAGGTATCGGTACTACATGAACAGTATCGGTACTTCGTACGTGAAAATAAGTTTTGTGCTCAAATTTACTTTTAAAAGACTTTGAATTATTTTTGAAGCCTTTGAAAACTTTGAATAAATTCAATTCAAGTCCAAAAACATTTTACTTTAATTTGTTATTAGCTAATTCCCTAATAAGAAGACCATTTCAGTTTCTGGTAGAAGCAATTTCTACCATTATCGTGTCTTCATGCATGGTATGTTTGGTGTTTTGTCTCCTTCTGTAATTTTAATTCCATCCTTCATTGAAAATAGAAGTGCAGCAAGAATGACTGCAATCATTAGAGGTGCTTCGAGTTGTCCTGCTGGTTGGACACCGAAGATTTCTGCGGGTCCATTTCTGTTCTTGCTGAATGCTTTTTGACAATGGAGGAAAAGCAAAATGGAGTATGGCTATTAAGTGCAAATTATTCTTCCTTCTAACATTTACTCCAAGGACACTTTCATTTGAGGACTAGAAATGGAATACCGGGTAATCAACTTCTTCTCTCTTTTATTTCCTTCTTTCCTTTGAGGACATTATAGCAAGGAACTATCCTTTTGTTTAACCAAGAAGATAAGACATGAGCGTGCTATGGCTTTATATGAAAGTTCTTTTAACGGTAGATATCAGAGGTTCAATCAGTAGAAGCTATCTCGAAACCTAGTGATTTCTCTATGTTTATGATTACATCAAGCTCTTGTAAATGGATGACTGCTTTCATGTTCTCAATTGTAAGCGACAAATCAAGATCACCACACTCTTGAAGATTTAGCAGCACATCAACTAAATCATCTTCCTCTAAGTTACCATCTACAGATTTTGTAGTTTCTCTCTTCAGCTCATGGTCATTGATTATGTTGATATCTTGTCGATCTTTAGATGAATTCTTCCCAGTGCAGGCTTCACCACTGAAGTGATGATGAAATTCCAGCAAAGGAAATATAACTTACACGTTAGAGCTGCCATCCAAGTCATGAGTTTTTCCGATGGCCTTTATGAATACCTGTTGATCCTTGCGCTTGCAACTAAATGCAGCCCTAGCAGTAATGTGGTTGCTTAACAATGACAGCTTCCGGAAGAGATTTATGGGGGACAGATTTACGGGTTGTCCCCCAGACAAGGCAATGGACTCGATCATATTCTGGCCTCTTCCTTATTGATCTGAATGCCTGGACACACTTAGCACTCAAGAGCTCCAATGTGCAAAGCTTTCGCAATTGTCTCCGAAAGCTTGACGTAGAGGCAAAACCCGATAGTCTTACAATTGTATGACATTATCTATGCAGCAAGAAGTCGAGTCCTATGAGCAAACACAAGGTCGTGCTTCTTTATCACTTCTTTTGCTTATTTGGGCGATGAAATAACAATGGCTGATACCGTGTTTAGCCTTTAATTTTTTATACATTAATGGATCGTATTTCTCAAATTCTCCCGGCGAGGATGGCGTAGTGAGCCAAAATTTTGGCGCAAGTTACCAATCAATGGCTGCTAGTAAGGATCAGGAGGCAATCTCTGCTTGAAAGTCTCCTGTGTTCTTTCATAACCGTGAAAACCAGTAGGAAAGGGAAGACGAAATTATTACCTGGTTCAGTTCATGTACTAAAATCAGTTAAAAACAAGCTTTCAAAAATACCGTAGAAGTTATTTTTCAATCAGTTTTGTTCAAAATAGCCACTATTTTGCTGAGATCTAAATGCACAAGAAAACACGTAATTTGTCGCATAAACCAACAAATTATGTCCTTGTAATCACGAATTTGCAGTTAAAATTGTATCAAGGCACATCTCAACAAATACAGTATCTATACAAAAGTTACATTGTGAACAAATGGTATGACAAATAGGGCAGCATACGTTTGGCAAGGCATTTACCATGCTCTAACTTGTTTATGTTAAAGTATAAGTACTTTTAAGAAAAACACAATCCTTAGAATAACAGACTTGCCCAACCAGCGACAAAAGCAAAGCCACCAAACGGAGCAAGGGCGGAAAATTTTCTATCCTCGAGATATGCAGCCGTGTAACACCTACATACAAACATAGTCCGTTATAATTTCACCGTCAACAACCTAGATTCTGCGTTATAAAGGCAGACAAAAAAAGATCAAAATGGCCAAAAAAGTGTGCAAAATGCATTTCAAACAAGAAGGATATGAAGATGTTAAACGATATCAAGGTTCGGCCTATTTCCTACAAGGATTTTTTCTTCTATACAAAATGACTTCAAAGTAGCTATTATGTAAATGGGGTCCCGGTTGTTTACAAAAATTACTTTGAAAGCATTTACCCTTACATTCTACATATAATTTGGATGTGGCAAAACTAGCAATAGATATCATGAGGGATGCTGGTGTGAAGTTCAGTGCTTTCCTTAATGGCAGAAACTCTAATTGGAGGAGAAGCACTTGAACACTAGACCGTTATATAAGCATTTGCAACTGATTACATAATTGTATTGATACATATGGCTTTGTCAATTATTTAAACCAAAGATATAGAGGACCCACAGAGTTGAATAAAAGCTGTGCTATGGTCTATGAATACCATTACAGAGATTACAGTTATTCACAACATCACAAAAGCATGGTGTCACAACACCCAGAGATGCCATGGAAAATTTCATGGTTTCAATAGAAATACATACACTACAAATGAAATAATATTAAGCAACAAGAAATTTTATAAAAATGTTTCAAGATACTGCAAATATTAGCGACGTGGAATGTATTTTCAGCGATGTTATAAGCATTCTTGTTGTCTAACCTCGTTTTACAATACATTGTTGCAGAACTAGCCATTTTATATGCCAAAAAATTCTAAATGCTCCATCATGGAGAATAGTCAAACACGTGCATAAATCAAAAACACCAGTTTAAAACCATTAAGTGTATGATTTTCATCAAGGAAAGTAACCCAAAATACGGAATCTCAACAAATATCAATCAATCAAAGTTCGAGACCTCTAACTTCCCTTTCACCAAATCCCTTGTTTTCAGATGAAGCATCCATCAAATGAAAATTTCTGAGAAAATTAAATAGAATTCAAAGAGAAGGCAACTTACGATCCAGAGAAACAGAGAATGCCAGCAGTCAAAAGACCTCCAAACTGAAACAGAACAAAAGTGAGCTCTTAACCCATTGATAATTGGACATGAAACAATAGAATTCAGCGCATTGTTCGATTAGTCTCTTAATAAAATCGATCAATAGAGCAACAAAGTACTTCTCATCAAATAATAACCAAACAATGCCTCAGGAAGCTAAAGAGGAAAACATAAATAAAAGGGCAAAAGGGAACTAACAATGTGGGGGCGTTTGGCAATAGGAGCAGCAAGAAGGGCAGCCGTGTGAAACAAGTGGTAAGTAGAAGCGATTTGCCATACCTTAGTTTATCATCCAATTCCAATAAGAAACAAACCCATAAAAGGAAAAGGAAATAAAGAGCAAAAATAGGGTAATAAAAAGATGACCTCTTTGTAAACGGGATTTTCAGGTTTGAAGATATGGAAACCATAAGTGCCCAATCCAAGAGCTGCAATTCCTGTCATTCAAAAAGAAAAAGAAAGAAAAAAAACCCATAAGTATATGTAAAAGAAAAGGATCGGAAAGATGAGAGAAAGAAATTAAGAACCAGAAACAGCAGCAATCTTATGCCAGTGATAAGCATCCATTTCGAAAATTCTCAGAAACCCCCTTCTCTCTCTTCAGTTTTGACTTCCGGTTGCATAAGCACGATCTGTTTTGCTGCAGTTAGCTTATTTTTCGTTCTCATCTATCTACATATATATAATTTTATTTAGGGTAAATTGTTCAAATGGTCAATAAACTATACTCAAATGATGTTTTTGTCTATTAAATTTTGAAAAATTAGAAAACTATCATTAAACTTTTTTTTTGGAAAGGTTATCAATAGAATTTTGATTTGATTATAAAAAGATAATTATGCTTAAAATGATTACGTGATATAGTTTATGTCCATCAAAATGGTGACTTGATATGTTAAATTAATGAACAATATATCATTTATCAATTGTAATTTAAAATTTATTTTAATATTTTTCAAATGGTTCTAATTCTAAGATAATTAGAATTTACAAAATATCATAAATTTAATATATATATATATATATATATATATATATATATATATGAGAACTTGTAATTTTTATAAAATTATATTTTTTTGAATTAAAAAGAAAAGGAAAATTCTTTAATATTAAAACCATGGCCAATTATTTAGAGAAAAGTTGATCAAATAAGCTAAGCGGGTAAAAGAATTAGCTCATTAGTCCATTTTTTAAATTAATTTGGATCTATAACAAATATTACAGTGTATGAGAAACTTGTCATGCCCACATGACGAGTTTGTTCAAATAATATTTTTATTTAAATTCATTACATCGTCGTAATAAATTATAATAAAATATAATTTTTTTATTAGAATTTACCATGTCGGAGTGAATCTTGAATAAAAAATATAATTTTTTAAAATTCGTTGAGGAAAACTATTGTTTAGCGTGTAGAGCGCCTCGGGTTGGATGTGTTGTGGAAGTGGTTCATTTGAAATTGGGCCACTTCCATCATGTTCAAACCCATATTTGCTGTGCTGAGAAAAAAACAGGCTTTCACCCTTTGGTTATCCTAAACGCTGTTCTTGATTCCAAATCAGAACCAAAAACTGGTGATATGAAGAGAGATTCATTACTCTGCACCTCATACCACCCGCTGGGATCATTATAAGCATCTCTCAACCACAAATAAGAATTAAATCTTTTTCTTTTTCATCACCCTCCTCAATTCTCTGTTATGTCTTCATCCTTGTTAAAACATAAAATGCACGACTGTGACTTTTCATCCAAAACTAAAAAGGATAAACTTTCAATAACCACGTAACACATTTATTGCTATCAATAACCTTTAGGGATGTTTGGTTTACGGAAAAAAATCATTATCAAGGGAAATAATATTTTCTATAATTGTATTCACACGTTTTGTTCATGAAAAATAACATTACTAGGTAATAATTTATTACCAATAGTAACATTTTTTAGTTAAAATGGTAATAATGTCATTACCAATAGTAACATTTTTTAGTTAAAATGGTAATAATGTCATTACCAATAGTAGCATTTTTGTAATGTGTCGAAACAGACACAAGAAAATAATTTCCGCGAAAAAACAAAACCTCACTCTTTTATTACATATTACACATATAAAAGGATAGGGAAAATAATTTATTTTGTTTGTCGTTTCAAAGAAAATAATTATTTTCCCTATCATATTAAGAGATATAAAAAGATAGGGAAAATAGTTTATTCACATATAAACCTACGCTATATACATATTACACAGGTATACGTAAAATAAATAAAATCGAGTATATCTCAAAATATAATCCTAACAACTATTACAGTCTATAATATAATAAAAAAATTAAACACGCCAATAAAATAATTAATTATGAATTTATTGAGGGATCAAAGGGAGTATTTTTATTTCTTAAAATCATGGGTTCAAACAACTTCGTTTATGGGTGTGCGAGCATTATCTTTAAAAAACTATAAATAAATATTATCTTATAATCGTTCAAACTGTCAAACTATTAAAAAAATATAACTTTATAATAGTTGAAGTTATGAGATTTGAATAGTTACATTTATATGTTGTGTATACATTATCTTAAATAAGATTATAAACTAATACTATCATATAATCATTTAAATTATTAAAAATTTGAATTATAAACTTTATAATATAGATATGATATTCACTTGACATGCTTCAGATGATTAAAAGGAAAAATCTAAAAACATGTTGAAGAATAATGATCAGTTCCAATAACCGACAGCAGAGTGCTGGAAATGACCCCCATGAGACCCAGAAAACAAAACAAGATAGGTTAATTGGGCTCCATTGGAAGGTGAAGACAAAACATGCTGATGACAGGGCTACCAAAAAATGGAGGCTTCGACCTCCTAAAAGTTGAAGCATTTGGTCGGTAAAAATTAAATAAAGCCGACTTCTTTACTTTCTTTCCTATCATTCACGACGCTTAGCTTGTCTGTTTGCTTCATTGAACTTTGTGATCAAAGTGAAAAATAAGCTGATAACTTGGTCTTATTGCAGGTCTGCCATGCGTGGAAATTAGCAGATGGACCCTTCATGGGAAACCTTTGTGTTTTGGGTCTATGACTTTAGGGAACACCTGCGCTTTGATTTGTTCATTTCTTTTATTCTTTCTTATCTTGTTTCTTCTCTTATTCTTTCATATCAGATCTTGGTGGGTAAATTCAATGTCTGATTTAGACCGGATGGACCACAGTGAGTAAGTGACGATAATCGCTTCCTTTAATTTTTTAATTTTTTTATATATTTTATATATTTTTGGTTGAAAAATATTTTTTCAATCCTTAAAATTTTAAAAGTACGTTCTCTCTCAAAATTTTAATAATTTCATATTCTAACATAAATTCTTATATACATCTTTGGCTCTAGAAACCGGTAGAAGAATAAATGAAATTTTATCTATATTTATTTGGAAATTTTGCTAATAAAAATGATTGTCATTTGTTTCTATATGTAATGGGGTAAGGGGAGATAAGATAGTAGGCCGCCTCCAATACCAGGTTAAGAGCAGCTTCCGTAGAAGACCTCCGAATTATGAAATATCCTCCGTAGGACTCCATCACACGACCTCAAGATTAAAAACATTGTGCTCTATCAACTGAGCTGAATAGTCTATACATGCGCGTGTATGTTTTCAACCCATGCCCGTATTTTTGGATTTTGTATATTGCTTGTCCCATATGAAGGATTCTGTTTTTGGATCGTTCAAAGAAAATAAGATTGTGTTTTTTTCAAGTAATTAAAATCTAAACACAAAAGCACCAACTTTTTTGTGTTCGCTTGTTAATTTATAAAAATGTTTTATATACGTACTAAGTTGAATATTTTCAAGTTTAATGAATTTATGCTTGAAATGTGTGTTAAATATATATATATATTTTTTAGTGTTCGGATCAATTAATATAAGATTATTTTAATTATTTAAGATCATAGATTCAAAACTTTGAATCTAATACGAAAATTTTATTGTTTTATTTGATTTAATCATTCCAGTTTCCTATCAGATTGTCAAACATATAGGTGAAGAAAATATGTACTTCATATAGAAATATTTATTATTTTACATTTCCTTACTGAGCTTTACAGATTGAATCATTTTACTTGTTATGTTGTTAACTTTTTAACGATGTTTTGACATGACATAAGCATTAAAACGACGTCATTTCGAAAAACTCAAATATAAACTGGAATGACGTCATTTCGAATCTTCTTCTTTCTCCCCATTTTCTCTCAACTTTACAAATAAGGTGATCGGTTGCCGCTGCTGGCCATCGCGTCATTTTTCATTACGACCACCATCTACCGCAATTGATGGTGGTTGTTCAGTCTCAAAATTCATGAGTCGGTTTGTCTCGACCCCCTGAATCCGAATCTGGTGGTTGTTTCACCGAAAAATGTCCCAAAATTCGTGAATCTCGACTGAAACATTTTGACTTCATCACTTTCAATCTTCAATTCGTAGACTTCGGAACAAGTTCCAATAAAATTGAGGTCGGATTTGGACTCAAGGTGTTGAGGCGAAATGACCCATGAAATATAGAATCCGAACGACCACCATCTACGGTGGTCGGTGGTGGCATCCAACCACTTTATGTTTTTATTTTATAGTTGGATGAGCAAAATAAGAGAGAGTAAAGTTTAGTGAGGAACAATGTAATTTACCCATTATATTTTTAATTATTTTATATTAAATAATAAAAAAAATAACATGTTATCATAAAATTAGAGAGATAACAGAGGAGTGAACAAAATGAGTTAATATATAAAATTTAATGAACAAATTTAAAAAATTAAAAGTATAGTAAATACAATAAAAGAGAGTAGAGTTTAATAAGGAATAATGTAATTTACTATTTATTTATTTATTTATTGAAAAATCTTGACTATAAAAAGAAGGGATCAATCTGAAATCCCGTTTCTCGTAAGACGATTTAGTATATAAGCATATTTGTACTTATATTTCCAAGGGTATAAGTATCCAAGAAAGGATATCTATGCCATTGAAATTATAAAATTTTATAGTATTATTTATTGATCTTCACTAGCATTTCTACCTTTTGATCGACAAGTTTATTTTAAAGTTTAAATATGTAACGGTGTATCTTTTCACGACATTTATTTTTTTATTGATTTATCAGTGATAAAAGATTATTTATTGATATAATTAAAATTTTGTAGTGAAAGAATCTGTTAAATTATTTGATTTGCTTACCATTCTTTTATCATTTTGTAAAATGTCTCATTCGATAAAGACAAATAATTATTTGAAGGTTATTGGTTTTTTTTATGTTGGACTTCATTCTCAATGAAATATTTCGATTTTTATTTTATGGATGAATTTTTGGTGATTATTACCTCAAATTTTCTATTCGAGTGTGTTATAATTTTGATTCATTCCATTATTTTTATTAATGAAATCTTGTTGACATTGTTTAAAAAAAATACAATATTAAAGAGGGTAAACTATTTATTTAGTCACCCATCTATTTTTATAATTTGTTCTGATCACTAAATTATTTTTTTAAAATCGTAACTAACGTTACGTCTTTGTTCTGTTTTAGTTACTCACCATTAAAAAATAAACAGAACTACTAATTTAATAATTTTTTATTTTTCAATGATGA